GCGGAGCATAATTGCAAAATCGATATTTGCCTACAAAAATTTATCATTTTCAACATGTTTTAAATTTTTTGTTGCGAAAAGGAACTACATTATACTAAAAAAAAGGTAAAATATAAGCCCCGCCCACTCGCCCTATCTCAGTTGTGATGATTTTTTCATTTGTCATGAGTCGAGAGGTGGAGCTTACTTGCAGTTCTCCAACCAATGAAATTTAAAATTGAAGGTGGGTGGGGTTAGTTTTAACTTTTCTGTCTAATAGATTCGAATATTTATCAGTATAGAATCCACCTTTCGTCCAATAAAATGAGTGATCAAAAATCTATGAATTAAAAAAATCATCACAATTGAGATGTGGTGGGTGGGTGGGGTATATATTTTGCCCTTTTTTCTTAACTTACATAGAATTCTTTGAACAACACGATACTCAAAAACATGTTTTTAATTTCTTGTAAAGAAATAAGTATTTTGCAGTTAAGCTCCGCCCCTTTGGTTCACGGCGAATAAAAAAATCATCACAAGTGAGACAGGGCGGGTGGGCGGGCTTACATTTTGTCTTTTTGTTTTAATATGCGTAGACTTCTTTTCACAACATTACACTTAAAATATGTCGAAAATGGAAAATTTGTACAACGACAAATCTATTTTGGAATTATGCTCCGCCCCATAATTGCAAAATACATATTTCTTTGCAAAAATGTGCCATTTTAACCATGTTTTAAATTTCTTGTTATAAAAAGATGGCTAAAATATAATTTTCGATTTAGCTTGTCGAGATCTATTATACATCAGAATCACTACCTTTTTTCAAAAAATGTCCCTAAAAATAATTAGATTTTTCGGATTTTTAAAAAAATTTAATCTCAAGCTGAATATTTCGAAAATCTTGCTCCAAGATCATCATCAGTACTCTACATTTTTCGAGTCAGGTCAGGTCAGGTCAGGTCAGGTCAGGTCAGGTCAGGTCAGGTCAGGTCAGGTCAGGTCAGGTCAGGTCAGGTCAGGTCAGGTCAGGTTTTTTCCAACGAAAATTATTAAAGTTTCTTTGTAAATTTCGATCTCCTGAAGTTGTTTTCGGCTTAACTTCTTTAAAAATCACTTCCATTTTTCAAAAATCGTCCATAAAAAAATCTGAATTTTCAGGATATTTAAGAAAATTGAATCTCAGGCTGAATATTTCCAAAAGCCTTGCTCCAAGTCCATAAATACTCAACATTTTCAATTCTTACACATCAGAATCTTTTTTGAATTTTCGAACAATTTCTAAAATAGTTTAATTTTTAAATATGAAACTTTTTCAGAATTTTTCGTGGATTTTTGGGCAACTTTGTAAAAAGTTCAATTTTTAAATAAGTATGAAAATGTTGACCTTTTTCCAAACACCATAGAAAACTATTATTAGAGGAAGTTTTTTGCAGATTCCGACTTCCAGAAGTTATTTTTGGAGTAACTTCTTCCAAAACGACCACAATTTTTTTCCAAAATTGTCAAAAAAACATGGAAATTTTTAAGATATTTTATAAATCTAATTTCTAATTGAATATTTCGGAAATCTTGCTCCACGACCATAAACATGCTGTAATTTTCGATTCAACTAATCGAGATCTGTAAATCAGAATTTTGAAAAAACTTCATTTTTAAAAAATGAAAATTTTGACTTTTTTCCGAGCACCACCGAAATTTATTAAAAGAGATTCTTTTGTACATTTCGACCTCCAGAATTTTTTTTATTACATGTTATTTTTCAAAAATAGTGCATAAAAGCCAGTAGATTTTTAAGTTAAAAAAAATCATTCCGGTGATTGTGAAAATCTTACTCCGGAACGATAAACAATCTCTTTCTCGATTTAACTTGGCGAAATCTATACATCAGATTTGTTTGTGAATTTTAGAGCAATTTCTAAAAAAGTTCAATTTTTAAATATGAAATGTTTGTCCTTTTTCCGAGCACCATCGAAAATTATTATTGAAAGATATTCTTTTGTTGATGTCCATCTGCACAAGTTATTTTCGGGTTTATTTCTTCGAAAATTGGTACCATTTTTCTAAAATTACCAAAATAAAATATATCATTTTTGGGATATTATTTCAAAGTTTCGAATTTGAACCCGAATACTTGGAAAATTGTAGTCTGGGAACAACAACAAACTAACTTTTTAGGTCTAGCTCGTCGAGATTTAATTCTAGAATTTTTGTGGATTTTTGGGCAACTTCGAAAAAACTTCAGTTTTTAAACGTCAGAATTTTGACTTTTTTCCAAGTACCGTGAAAAATTATTATTAAAAGAGGTTCTTTTGTAGGTTTAGACTTCCAGAAGCTGTTTCTGGATTACTTTGTTCGAAAATTACTAGCATTTTTCCAAAATCGTGCATAAGAAATATGTTCAGTCAAACTGAATATTTCGGAAATTTTGCTCCGATACCATAAACACGCTGTTTTTTGATTCAGTTTGTCGAGATATATAAATCAGAGTTTTTCGTGGATTTTTGGGCAACTTTTTAAAAGTTCAGTTTTTAAATAAGTATGAAAATTTTGACCTTTTTCTAAACATCATAGAAAATTATTATTAGAGGAAGTTTTTTGCAGATTTCGATTTCCAGAAGTTATTTTTGGAGTAATGTCTTCTTAAATGACCACAACTTTTTCCAAAATCGTCAAAAAAACAAGGAAATTTTTAAGATTTTTTTATAAATGTAATTTCTAATTGGATATTCCCGAAATCTTGCTCCACGACCATAAACATGCTGTAATTTTCGATTCAACTTATCGAGATCAGTAAATCAACATTTTTTGAGAGTCTGGGCAGCTTTGAATAAACTTCATTTTTAAAAAATGAAAATTTTGACTTTTTTCCGAGCACCACCGAAATTTACTAAAAGAGATTCTTTTGTACATTTCGACCTCCAGAAATTGTTTTCGGCTTTATTTTTGCGAAAATTATTACATGTTATTTTTCAAAAATAGTACATAAAAACAAGTAAAATTTTAAGATAAAAAAAAAATTATTCTGGTGATTGTGAAAATCTTAGTCTGGGACGATAAATAATAATCTGTTCCTCGATTTAGCTTGTCGAAATCTATACATCAGATTTTTTGTGAAGTTTTAAACAATTTCTAAAAATGTTCAATTTTTAAATATGACATTTTTGACCTTATTCCGAGCATCGCCAAAAATTGTTAAAGATATTCTTGTGCAGATTTCGATCTCCAGAACTTGTTTTTGGCTTAATTTCTTCGAAAATCACATCCATTTTTCAAAAATCGTCCATAAAAAAATATCTGAATTTTCAGGATATTTAAGAAAATTGATCTCAGGCTAAATATTTCCAAAAACCTTGCTGCAAAACGATAAACACTCTACATTTTCAGTTCTTATACATCAGAATCTTTTTTAAATTTTTGAACAATTTCTAAAATACTTTAATTTTAATTATGAAACTTTTTCAGAATTTTTCGTGGAATTTTGGGCAACTTTGTAAAAAATTCAATTTTTAAATAAGTATGAAAATTTTGACCTTTTTCCAAACACCATAGAAAACTATTATTATTACAGGAGGTTTTTTTTAGATTTCGACTTCCAGAAGCTATTTTTGGAGTAATTTCTTCGAAAACGTCCACAATTTTTTCCAAAATCGTCAAAAAAAACATGAAAATTTTTAAGGTTTTTTTATAAATTTAATTTCTAATTGAATATTTAGGAAATCTTGCTCCACGACCATAAAGTTTTCTACATTTCAACTTCCAGCAATTGTTTTTGGTTTTATTTTTTCGAAAATTATTACGTTATTTTTCAAAAATAGTGCATAAAAACAAGTGAATTTTTAAGATTAAAAAAATTATTCCGGTAATTGTGCAAATCTTACTCCGGGACGATAAATAATCTGTTTCTCGATTTAGCTTGTCGAAATCTATACATCAGATTTGTTTGCGAATTTTTGGGCAATTTCTAAAAAAGTTCAATTTTTAAATATGAAAGTTTTGACCTTATTCCGAGCATCGTCAAAAATTATTCTTCTGTAGATTTCGATCTCCAGAACTTGTTTTTGGCTTAATTTCTTCGAAAATTACTACCATTTTACAAAAATTGTCCGTTTAAATTTTCAAAGTCGAATAATTCGAACACCAATTATTTCCCGTGTTAAGCACGATTTTTTCCATAATTTTCACCACCCAGTTTTTTCGGAGTTGACATTTATTTTACAGTATTTTAACGACACGGTCACAAATTTTTACAGAGAACAAACACACATTTAGCGTTTAATTCCGTCATAACTTTCGGTAGTTCGATCGATAATAATACGTCCACAAAAATTCCAGCTGCTGCACAAGCCAAATCTGCAACAAGTGCTTCCTCATTCATTGCTTCCAATTCTTAATTTTCACTTTTTCGTCTTAGCCAAGCCATAAATATTTAAAACAAAAGCGTCTCATAACTTTGAAGCATTATCCACGTTAAACCCATATCGTTGGCACAAAATGGAATTACCCAGGACTCAAAGAACATCCTTGCCTTTGTGTCCCGACTCTTATCTTTAACTTTGTCCCTTTTCCCCCTTTATTGTAAGCGAACACAGAACTATGATTTAGCGCAACTTTCATTTTTCGCGTCCTTTCAACCGTCACACGTTGTACTATTCCAAATTACGATAAACCCCGGTCAATTTTCCGTATTTTTAGACCTCTGTTACACGAATTTATTTTCGCTAGTTACCAAGAGAATTACGATAATTAATCGACCTTACGTGTTGTGCTCAAGGCTGAACATTGCGTTTACCTTAGAATTCGTCTTCCGCTCGCCAATGTTATCGCTCCGTTGGATTTCTATCTCTCGAAATATCTAACAAGAAATAAAGAAAACGCACTTTCTAACAAGCGTGTAACGTAATCTTTTTAATTTCACCGATAAGCAAATTATTCAGGTTCAACGAATCCATAAGTTTAATAATTTGTCGAGTGACGTCAGTGATTGTCCGGAGGGGTGAGCGCACGTGTTTTTGTTGCAGCCGACAGCAGTTTCCTTCTGGCGAACGCCCAGATCGTCGACTACCCGATAGTTTATTGCAACGAGTCTTTCTGCAAGATTTCCGGCTACAACAGGGCGGAAGTAATGCAAAAATCCTGCAGGTGTGCCTTTATGTTCGGCGAACTTACCGATAAGGAGACAATCAGTAGAGTAGACCATGTCCTCGAGCATCAGTTGCACGACCAGTTTGAGATTCTCCTTTACAAGAAAAATAGTAAGTCGTTCATAGTCCAATCTGTCTCTCTCTTACTAGCTCCTTCTAACTATCATCTCATTTCTTCTGTCGGTGCTTTGTTAGGATAACTACAGGTTTAACTTTCCCGAATAATAATAATGAAGACGTCCACGTGACACCGCTTGCTAGTTAGTGTTTATTTAGTTGTTTAATTTTTCTAGTTTCACTTTTGTTTGTTTAGCTTTGGCAGGTTTTCGTCGGGTTGCGAGATGGATAAATACTATATTTATATTTAAATATTTATAAGTAACGAAAACGTACTTTCTGTGTACCTCAGCGCAATTTTTTTTCTTTACCTTTTCATTATGACTCTTAAGTTATAGGTAGTAAGTTTTTCTTTCCCTTTCAAAATTATATTGTACTTACTATATAACTATGTGTTTCCCCCGGTCCGTTCTCCTGCACCGCGCATGTTCTGTATAGAAACAAAAGGTATGTAGTTCAGTGTTTTTCAAATTTTTCAAAATCAGTCAAAATTGAATGACTAGCAGTAAATGTCGTTGCCACTGGCTGAATGTTGTCTTGTTAGTAACAATAGTCGCTTCCATCTAACGAAGACACGAGTGCATGATCAGAACACCGTCGAAATCGAGGTTTTAGTGAAAATGGGTGTTAAAACGACTCAGTCAATCGAAAAATGCACAAAATTGCAAACTGTGTCATAGCTGTATCTGCACGTGGCATAACCGAACAATCGTAGACCGTCTAAACAACAACCCGTAAATCATTTTGTTTGTGTTCGATTGATTTCCTTGATTTCCTTTAAATTTCGATTAAGTAACTCCGTATTTTAAAAAAATTATTAAACATATTTTATTTTTTTCTACAGGCACTCCAGAAGGTATGTAGTTACGATAATTTCTCAATTCCTAAAGCTATGAAATTTGTACTTTACTCCTTACGCTTTGTAGGTTTTGTTTTCTTCTTCTACTTGTTTTGTATATTCTCTTGACGAGATTTTTTCGTTTTGTCTCTTGCTTTTGCAATTTGACTTTCGATTGTAACCGAGACCAAGTTCGAAAAGGGATGCTTTCGACTGCATGTTGACACGAGGGACAAAAAATACTGACGACTTTTTAACATTTTTTACTAAAATTCCTTACACGTATTACTTTGTGCAATTTGGGCCCGACTCCAGCAAAAACTTTTACATTTTTGAGTTTTTTAGTTCACTGTGTCGGATTGAGATACCGGGAAATTTCCGGTGGGCTCATTTTTTTTTGATGCAACAGATTTTTCACATATACAGGATGTTCCAATTACATATAAAATAAAAGCTGAAAATTGTCATTGCCGTTGATAGTGACTATGATGTTCAACTTTTGAAATTAAAAACATGTTTTGAGTATCGTGTTATTCAAATAATACTAAGTATATTAAGAAAAAATTAAATCCAAAGATCAAGCTCCACCCAAACTTGCCCTGATCTAAATAGTAATGAAGTTTTCATTCGTTGGAAGACCTAGGGGAGGAGCCCAATTGCAAAATCCATTTTCGTTACAAAAATTTACAATTTTAAACTTGTGTCAAGTTTCTAGGAATAAAAAAAGTCATCACAATAGAGATGGGGTGGGTGGGCGGGGTTTATGTTTTGCCTTTTTGTGCTAATATTTGTAGAATTCTTTTCACAACATGTAGCATAAAATATGTTTAAAATGGAAAATTTGATAAGAAAATATCGATTTTGTCCCATAATTGCGAAATCCACATTTTCTTGAAAAAATTTACCATATTTTCTATGTTTTAAGTTTCTTGTTGTGAAAAGATGACTACACATATTAAGAAAACAAAGCAAAATGGAAGCCCCGCCCACCCACCCTATCTCAATTGTGATGATTTTTTCATTCGTTGTCAGACCGAGGGGCGGAGCGTAATTGCAAAATGAATATTTCCCTATACAAATTTACCATTTTAAACATGTTTAAAGTTTCTTGTAAAAATATGACTACACATATTAAGAAATCAAGGCAAAATGGAAGCCCCACCCATCCACCCTATCTCAATTGTGATGATTTTTTTATTCATTGTGAGCCAAGGGTGGGCGGAGCTTAATTGCAAAATCCGTATTTCTCTACAAGAAATAGAATACATGTGTTTGAGTATCGTGTTGTTTAAAGGATACTATTAAGAAAAAAAACAAGCCAAAAATTAAGCCCCGCCCATTCATCCCAAGCTCAATTGTGATGAGTTTTTCATTTGTTGTCAGATGGAGGGGCGGGGTTCAATTGCAAAAGTCATATTTGTCTAGAAGAGTTTACCGTTTAGACATGTTTTAAGTTTCTTGTTCTTACAAAAATTTACCATTTTAAACGTGTGTTAACGTTCTAAGAATTATAAAGGACATCACAATTGAGGCGGGGTGGGTGGGCGGGGTTTATATTTTGCCTTTTTTTCTTAATGTACACAGAATTCTTTGAATCACACGATACTCTAAAACATGTTTTTAATTTCTCGTAGGGAAATAAGGATTTTGCAGTTTAGCTCCGCCCCCTTGGTTCACGGCGAATAAAAAAATCATCACAATTGGGATAGGGCGGGTGGGCGGACTTACATTTTACCTTTTTGTTTTAATATGTGCAGATTTCTTTTCATAACAAGTAACATGAAACATATTTAGAATGGAAATTTTGAAAAGGAAATATCGATTTTGCCCATAATTCCAAAATTCACATTTCCTTGTAAAAATCTACCATTTTTTACATGTTTTAAGTTTCTTATTGTGAAAACATGACTACACATATTGAGAAAACAAGGCAAAATGGAAGCCCCGCCCACCCGCCCTATCTCGATTGTGATGATATTTTTATTCGTTGTGAGCCAAGGGTGGGCGGAGATTAATTGCAAAATCCGTATTTTTTTACAAGAAATAAAAAACATGTTTTTGAGTATCGTGTTGTTCAAAGAAGATTAAATATATATATTAAGAAAAAAACAAGCCAAAAATTAAGCCCCACCCAATCAATCTCAAGCTCAATTGTGATGAATTTTTCATTCGTTGTCAGATCGAGGGGCAGGGCTTAATTGCAAGATCCAAATTGTCTAGAAGAATTTACGATTTTAGACATGTTTTAAGTTTCTTGTTTTTACAAAAATTTACCATTTTAACCGTGCGTAAACTTTCTAGGAATAAAAAAGGTCATCACAATTGAGACGGGGTGGGTGGGCGGGATTTATATTTTGTCCTTTTTTCTTAATGTACATAGTTTGAACCACACGATTCTCAAAAACATATTTAAATTTCTCGTAAAGAAATAAAGATTTTCCAGTTAAGCTCCGCCCCCTTGGTTCACGGCTAATAAAAAAAAACATTACAATTGAGACAGGGCGGGTGGGCGGGCTTACATTTTGCCTTTTTGTCTTAATATGTCTAGAATTTTTTTCACAACATGAAACTTAAAATATGTTTAAAATGGAAACTTTGATAAGCAAATAACGATTTTGCCCCATAATTGCAAAATCCACATTTCCTTGAAAAAATGTGCCATTTTTTCCATGTTTTAAGTTTCTTGTTGTGAAAAGATGACTGCACATATTAAGAAAACAAGGCAAAATGGAAGCCCCGCCCACCCACTCTATCTCAATTGTGATGATATTTTTATTCGTTGCGAGCCAAGAGTGGGCGGAGCTTAATTGCAAAATCCGTATTTGTCTACAAGAAATAGAATACATGTGTTTGAGTATCGTGTTGTTCATAGAATACTGTGTATATGTATTAAGAAAAAAAACAAGCCAAAAATTAAGCCCCACCCATTCATCCCAAGCTCAATTGTGATGAATTTTTCATTTGTTGTCAGATCGAGGGGCGGGGCTTAATTGCAAGATCCATATTTGTCTAGAAGTATTTACAGTTTTAGACATGTTTTAAGTTTCTTGTTCTTACAAAAATTCACCATTTTAAACGTGTGTTAACTTTCTAATAATAAAAAAGGTCATTACAATTGAGACGGGGTGGGTGGGCGGGGTTTATATTTTGCCTTTTTTTCTTAATGTACATAGTATTCTTTGAACCACACTATACTCAAAAACATGTTTAAATTTCTGGTAGAGAATAATTTTGCAGTTAAGCTCCGCCCTCTTGGCACACGGCGAATAAAAAAATTCATCACAATTAACTCAGGGTGGGTGGGCGGGCTGACATTTTGCCTTTTTGTTTTAATATGTGTAGACTTCTTTTCACAACATGAAACTTAAAATATGTTTAAAATGGAAAATTTGTATAAAGAAATATCGATTTTGTAATTAAGCTCCGCCTCATAATTGCAAAATCCATAATTCCTTGCAAAAATTTTATCCATGTTTTAAGTTTCTTTTGTTGAAAAGGTGGCTATGGATATTTAGAAAAAAAAGGCAAAACATAGGCCCCGCCCACCCGCCCTACCACAATTCTGATGATTTTTTTATTCGTCGTAAGCGGAGGGGTGGAGCTTAATTGTAAAATCGATATTTCCTTATACAAATTTACCACTTTAACATGTTTTAAGTTTCTTGTTGTGAAAAGATGACTGCACATATTAAGAAAACAAGGCAAAATATAAACCCCGCCCACCCACCCAGTCTCAATTGTGATGATTGTTTTATTCGTCGTGCGCCACGGAGGGCGGAGGTTAATTGCAAAATCCGTATTTCTCTACAAGAAATAAAAAATATGTTTATTAATAAAAAAGACAAAGATTAAGACCCACCCATATCCGTCCCAAGCTCAATTGTGATGAATTTTTCATTCGTTGTAAGATCGAGGGGCGGGGCTTAATTGCAAGATCCATATTTGCCTAGAAGAATTTACCATTTTAAACAGACATATTTTAAGTTTCTTGTTCTAAAAAGGCGACCACGTATATTAAGAAAAAAGGCAAAATATAAGCCCCGCCCACCCGCCCTATCTCAATTGTGACGATTTTTTTTAATCGTCGGTAGCCAAAAGAGCAGAATTAATTGCCAAAGCCTTATTATTTCTCTATAAGAAATTACCAAGACATGTTTTTGAGTATTGAACTATTCAAAGACTGCTACGTATATTAGGAAAAAAAATTGAAGTCAAAGATTAAGCCCCACCCATACCAGCCCTGATCTAAATAGTAATGAAGTTTTCATTCGTTGGCGGACCTAGGGGAGGAGCATTGTAAAATCCATATTTCCCTACAATGTTGGGTTTCTAAGAATAAAAAAAGTCATCACAATTCCGATAGGGTGGGTGGGCGGGGTCTATCTTTTGCCTTTTTTTCTTAATGTACATAGTATATTTTAAACAACACGATACTCAAAAACATGTATTTAATTTCTTGTAAAGAAATAAGTATTCTACAGTTAAGCTCCGCCCCTTTGATTAACAGCGAATAAAAAAAATCATCACAAGCGAGATAGGGTGGGTGGGCGGGCTGGCATTTTGCCTTTTTGTTTTAATATGTGTAGACTTCCTTTCAGAACATGAAACTTAAAATATGTATGTTTATAATGGAAAATTTGTGTAACGAAATATCGATTTTGCAATTAAGCTCCGCCCCATATATGCAAAAATGTACCATTTTAACCATGTTTTAAGTTTCTTGTTGTGAAAAGATGGTTATGTATACTAAGAAAAAAGGGCAAAATATAATGTGAGTTTTTGCAATTTTAAATAAAATTGAAAAAACCAAAAAATGAAATGATCGAAAAATTGAAAATCCCAAAAATAGAAAATTTTCACATTAACAAAACGAAAAAATAATTAAATCAAAACATTGGAAAACAGAAAAATTGAAAAAATAAAAAAAAACAAAAAACGAACGAAAAATTGAAAAACTGAAAAACTAAAAAAACAGAACATTTAAAACTCGTACAAAATCTTAAAATTGAAAAAACCAAAGATTTTAAAATCGAAAACTTGAACACAGAAAATTTGATAAATGGTAAAAATAAAGAAAATAAAAACCAAAACCAAAAATTTAAGAAATGAAAAATTGAAAAATCAAAAATTGAAAACTCAAGAAATTTTAAATTGAAAAAACGAAAAATTATAAAATCAAAACATTGGAAAACCGCAAAATTGACAAAATAAAAAAATAAAAAACCGAAAGAAAAAATTGCAAACCGAAAAATCAAAGATAAGAAAAATTGAAAAATTAAATATTGAAAACTCGTGAAGCTGCTAATCAAAAAATTGCAAAATCTTAAAATTTTAAAAATAAAGAAAAATGAAAAACTTAAAAATCTCAAATCGAAAATTGAAGAAACGTAAAATTTTAAATCGAAAAAGTGAAAAATCTAAAATTGAAAAAACGAAAAATTAAAGTCGAAAAATTGAGAATCGAAAATTGAAAATCCCAAAAATAGAAAATTTTCACATTAACAAAACGAAAAAATAATTAAATCAAACATTGGAAAACAGAACAATTGGAAAATTAAAAAAAAAACGAACATTTAAAACTCGTGAAACTGCTAATTAAAAAATTACAAAATCTTAAAATTCAAAAACCAAGGATTTTAAAATCGAAAACTTGAACACAGAAAATTTGATAAATGGTAAAAATAAAGAACATAAAAACCAAAACCAAAAATTTAAGAAATGAAAAATTGAAAAATCAAAAATTGAAAACTCAAGGAATTTTAAATTGAAAAAACGAAAAATTATAAAATCAAAAATTGAAAACTCAAGGAATTTTAAATTGAAAAAACGAAAAATTATAAAATCAAAACACTGGAAAACCGCAAAATTGACAAAATAAAAAAAATAAAAAACCGAAAGAAAAAATTGCAAATCGAAAAATCAAAGATAAGAAAAATTGAAAAATTAAAAATCTCAAATCGAAAATTGAACAAACGTAAAATTTTAAATCGAAAAAGTGAAACATCTAAAATCGAAAAAACGAAAAATTAAAGTCGAAAAATTGAGAATCGAAAATTTGAGAATCCAAAAAATTTAAAAATTTCACATTAAACACGAAAATGAAAAACTGAAAAATTCCAGAAACGACAAACTGAAAAAATTAAATTGAAAAAACAAATAAATAAAGAAAATAAAAACCCGGAACCAAAAATTGAAGAAATGAAAAACTGTAAAATCAAAAAAATGCAAGATCTTAAATTGAAAAACCCAAAGCTTGTAAAATCGAAATACTGAACACTGAAAAACCGATAAATGGTAGAAATGAAGAAAATAAAAACTGAAACAAAAAATTTAAGGCATGAAAAATTTGAAAAATAAATAATTGAAAATTTCAGGAATTTTAATTTGAGAAAAAGAAAAATTATAAAATCAGAACCGAAAAATATACCATTTTAACCATGTTTTAAGTTTTTTGTTGTGAAAAGATGGCTACGTATACTAAGAAAAAAGGGCAAAATATACGCCCCGCCCGCCCGCCCTATCTCAATTCTGATGATTTTTTTAATTCGTCGTAAGCCGAGGGGTGGAGCTTAATTGAAAATCCTATTTTTCTATAAGAAATCACCATGTGATAATGTGTTAATAGTCGAATTCGGTCGAAGTATAAACATAAACAGTCGAAGTTAAGCATATACTGAGAAATTGGGAATGTCCACATTTTTCCCATTAGTTATATATATAAATTTCCCGGTGGACCCCCATGTCCTCAATCCGACACTGAAAGTAACACTACTTCAGTTAGCCAACTAATGAAAAGACGGTTTTTTGCTGGATGGTAGGTGTTTTTGGCATGCTGTATATATACTTACTTATTCTCTTATTATTGGCATGTTTTTTTACTCAAATTTGACTATTGTTGGTTGAGATTTGGTAAATTCCAAAAACGTAAAATAACGAAACAAACATTGTTTTCCAAATTTTCAGATTCAAAAGTGCACTATCACATGGCTTTTTACTGATTTTTCGTTCATCATTCTACCCAGCACCCCTCCATTCTGATTTTCTTCTTTGTTTTGACGCAAATAAATAATACCCATCGACATAAAAATCAAAAATAACTCTCTCATTTTGGTTTCCACAACAAACTTGTGCGCCCATTTCCATTACACCCTCTATTCTAACGTGGTACCTGTATTTGGTACTTTCATTAAAAATGTGTGTCACACCAAATTGCGAAGGTACTTAGGTAGGTATCCCGTTCGCTCCACAGTGACATTTTTTCAAAATTAACAACCATTTTGGTACGACTCGGCATGCTCGTGTTCCAAGGTACCGAGAAACACTGCTTGTTTTGTTCGTTTAACTAGTACGATTAGTTCCTTGATTTGTTTGTATTATTTTGGGTCAAATGACGCACCATCAGCGCCACCATATCAGAGTACACAGCACGAAACACCGTTAGTCAACAATAGAGTAGCCAGTACAGCTTTAGTTAGTTTGAAGCTTAAGCATCACTGGACATCAGTTTTGACCCGAACTTCAAAAACTCTCTCTTTGTAGAAACACCACTATGGCTACTCCTGCAGATTTCGCCCATAAAGAACGAGCGCGACTTGGTAGTCCTCTTTCTATTGACTTTTCGGGACATAACAGCGCTGAAACAACCCATAGAAACCGACGATGCGAAAGGAGGTACTTTGGAAGTACGAGTTTCTCGGTTTGAAGTAACCCGAAACTTCTAGGTCTGTCAAAATTCGCCAAGTTGGCACGCTCGGTGACCCGCAGTCGCTCGGTCCTGGTGTCGCAGTTCTCTTCCCATCTGCCGAACCTGAAAGACACCACGAAGCAGTCGCATCTGGCGCAAGTCAGTTCCAGTACCAGTCGTACTGCAAGTACTAACTGTTGTTCTTGCACGCTGCGTTCGGATTTTTTGGGGTTATGTATAGATGATGAGTTTAAGCGCAGACATCATGCCCCAGTACCGCCAGGAAGCCCCCAAGACGCCGCCGCATATCTTGCTTCACTACTGCGCCTTCAAAGCCATCTGGGACTGGATCATCCTGTGTCTCACGTTCTACACAGCGATTATGGTCCCGTACAACGTGGCTTTCAAGAACAAGACCTCCGAAGACGTGTCGCTGCTTGTTGTTGATTCGATTGTTGATGTTATTTTCTTTATTGATATTGTTTTGAATTTTCATACGACTTTCGTGGGGCCGGGGGGCGAAGTGGTGTCCGACCCGAAGGTGATCCGGATGAACTACCTCAAGAGTTGGTTCATCATCGACTTGTTGAGCTGCTTGCCTTATGATGTCTTCAATGCCTTTGATCACGACGAAGACGTAAGTGCACAAATGTTTTGAGCCTATGGGCGGATCATTTTTGCCGGTCGTCACCGAAGGAGGCGGCCCAAATCGTCCAAGGGCAGAATTTGTAGGTAGGCTCAAACTACAACGAAATTTACGTGTTGACCAAATTCTTACTCTGAATTAGTTTTAATTTTATAAATACCCTATCTAAAATGTTCAGAATATGATGAGTCTATACTTGTGGTTTACCATTCCATTTATATTTTTTGGATTTGTTTATACGAGGTGTCTCAAAAAAGTTAATGACTGAGTCAATTTATTTTATTGAAGAAATCAAGAATAGCAAAACTGAATACTTTGAAATCTTGTCAATTAGTTGGACCCTGAGCCCAATTTTTTTTTGCAATATCTGTGATGTACTATTAGTTTCCGTAAGTTATAAAATTACAAAAAAAAAACCTATTCTGCTCTAATAAAATCGAGAATATGCTCAAAATCACACTAATATTAGGTCTAATTGTGCCAACCATAGTTATAAAATTCACATTAAATTAAGTCACGGACATTTTTTGAAGTGTACTACATTTCAAAAAACAAAAAAAATGTTCAGTTTATAAACTTCATAAATTTGGTTTAAAGTTTATCAATCATGTTTGACTTTATCCATTTCATTTGTTATCCTTTATTGCGGTCTCTCTTGAGTCGAGGTGTAACACCGGATCACTTCGATTTTCGATTTTTCGTTTTTTCGACCAACCATTTCATCGAATTAGATTTTTCAGTTTCAATTTTTCTATCAACTTTTCGATTTTATTACTTTCAAATTTTCTGATTTTTCAAATTTGCGGTATTTTGAATTTTCGAGTTTTTAGTTTTTTCGTTTTTCGATTTTTTAATTTTTCGTTTTTTTGATTTTTCGATGTTTCGATTTTTTGATTTGCCATTCTTTCAATTTTCGATTTTTCGTCTTTCCATTTTTAGATTTCTGGATTTTTCTGTTCGTCAGTTTTTAGATTTTGCAATTTTTTTGCATTTTTCGATTATATTTTACTTTCCGACTTTTTTGATTTTTGAATTCTCGATTTTACGTTTTTAATTCTTCTATTCCCGAGTTTTCGATTTTCCATTAATCATTAAATTTTTCGATTTTTCGGTTGTTTTATTTCTCGACCTTCGATTTTTCCAACTTTCGATTATTCGATTTTCCATTTTCTGATTTTACGATTTTTCGATTTTCGTTTTTCCGCTTTTGTTTTATTTTTCCATTTTTCGATTATTTTACTTTCCGATAGTTTGATTTTTGAATTTTCGGTTTTTCCATTTTTCGATTTGGGATTTTTCAATTTTTCGGTTTTTTAATTTTTCGTATTTTGATTTTCGATTTTTCATATTTGTGGATTTGTGTCCGTTTTTTCGATTTTTAGAATACTGATTAATCGAATTTTTGATTTTTGAGCATTTCGATTTTTCGATTATCATTTTTACGATTTTTCAAAATCTCGATATTCGTGTTTTCGATTTTCCATTTTTCAAATTTTCAATTTTTAATTTTGCTTTTTTCGATTGTTGCTTTTTAGAATTTTCCCTTCTTCAGCTTTTAGATTTCAATTTTGTTACTTTCCGATTTTCTACTTTTCGATTTTTTTATTTTTTTTCGATCGTCGTTTTTCGATTTTCATTTTCCCGATTTTTTGATTTTTCAATTTTTAGGCCTTGCAATTTTTTTACTTTTCGTTTTTTCGAGTATTTGTTTCATCGAATTTTCGATTTTTCGATTTTCGATTTTTCGGTTTTTCCATTTTCCGATTTTCGATTTTTCGATTTTCCATTTTTAGATATTTTTCGATTTTTCTGTTCGTCAGTTTTGAGACTGCAATTTTTACTTTTCCACTTTTCTATTATTTTAGTTTCGGATTATTCGATTTTTGAATTTTCGTTTATTTTTCATTTTTCGATTTCCGATTTTTTAATTTTTCGATTTTCGGTTTTTTAATTTGTCGATTTTCGATATTCCGATTTTCGATTTTTCGATTTTCCAATCTTCGATTTTTCAATTTCCAGTTTTCGATTTTCCACTTTTTGATTTTACGATTTTTCGATTTTTCTGTTCGTCAGTTTTTAGGCTTTGCAATTTGTTTACTTTTCGATTTTTCGATTATTTTACTTTCCAATTTTTTGATTTTTGAATTGTCGACTTTTAGAGTTTTCAATATTATGAATTTTTGAATTTTCGGTTTTCCTATTTTTCGATTTTTGATTTTTCCATTTTTCGGTTTTTTGATTTTTCAATTCTCGGTCTTTCAATCTTGCAAATTTTCGATTTTTCAGATTTGTGAATTTCCAGTTTTTCGATCGACCTACGTATTAGATTCATTGAATTTTCGATTTTCGGTTTTTCCATTTTTAAATTTTTGATTTTCCAGTTTTGTATTTTCAGATTTTCTGTCTTTCGCATATCTGATTTATCAAATTTGCGATTTTTCGGCTTTTCGATTTTTCGATATTTGATTTTCGAATTTTCGATTGTTCAGTTTTCCATTTCTCAGCTTTTAGACTTCAATTTTTTTACTTTTCGATTTTCCAAATTTTCGAGTTTCAATTTTCAGATTTTTGAATTTTCGATTTTCTTTTTAAATCTTTGAATTTTTCGGTTTTGATTTTTCGAATTTTTGATTTTTAATTTTTCGATATTCTATTTTCCGCTTTTCAGAATTTTCGATTTTCAGTTTTCAGACTTTTGATCATTAGAATTTTGGTTTTTCAGTTTTATGATTTTTCGATTTTCAGAAAATTTGAGTAGTCGAATTTTCGATTTTTCAATTCATCGATTTTTCTATGTTCAATTGTTCAATTTAAATTTTGCGATTTTCAATTTGTCCATTGTCGATTTTTAGTATTTTCGGTTTTTCAGTTTTTCTATTCTCAACTGTTAGACTTCAATTTTGTTACTTTCCGATTTTCTACTTTTCGATTTTTTTATTTTTTTTCGATCGTCGTTTTTTCGATTTTCATTTTTCCGATTTTTTGATTTTTCAATTTTTAGGCCTTGCAATTTTTTTACTTTTCGTTTTTTCGAGTATTTGTTTCATCGAATTTTCGATTTTTCGATTTTCGATTTTCCATTTTTAGATATTTTTCGATTTTTTTTATTTTTCGATTTTTCTGTTCGTCAATTTTGAGACTTTGCAATTTTTACTTTTCCACTTTTCTATTATTTTAGTTTCTGATTATTCGATTTTTGAATTTTCGTTTTTTTTTCATTTTTCGATTTCCGATTTTTTAATTTTTCGATTTTTCGCTTTTTTAATTTGTCGATTCTCGATATTCCGATTTTCGATTTTTCGATTTTCCAATCTTCGATTTTTCAATTTCCAGTTTTCGATTTTCCACTTCTTGATTTTACGATTTTTCGATTTTTCTGTTCGTCAGTTTTTAGGCTTTGCAATTTGTTTACTTTTCGATTTTTCGATTATTTTACTTTCCTATTTTTCGATTTTTGATTTTTCCATTTTTCGGTTTTTTGATTTTTCAATTCTCGGTTTTTCAATTTTGCAAATTTTCGATTTTTCAAATTTGTGAATTTCCAGTTTTTCGATCGACCTACGTATTAGATTCATTGAATTTTCGATTTTCGGTTTTTCCATTTTTAAATTTTTGATTTTCCAGTCTTGTATTTTCAGATTTTCTGTTTTTCGCATATCTGATTTATCAAATTTGCGATTTTTCGGCTTTTCGATTTTTCGATATTTGATTTTCGAATTTTCGATTGTTCAGTTTTCCATTTTTCAGCTTTTAGACTTCAATTTTTTTACTTTTCGAATTTCCAAATTTTCGAGTTTCAATTTTCAGATTTTTGATTTTTCGATTTTCTTTTTAAATCTTTGAATTTTTCGGTTTTGATTTTTCGAATTTTTGATTTTTAATTTTTCCATTCTTCGGTTTTTAGACTTCAATTTTCTTTCTTTTAAATTTTTCGATATTCTATTTTCCGCTTTTCAGAATTTTCGATTTTCAGTTTTCAGACTTTCGATCATTAGAATTTTGGATTTTTCAGTTTTATGATTTTTCGATTTTTAGAAAATTTGAGTAGTCGAATTTTCGATTTTTCAATTCATCGATTTTTCTATGTTCAATTGTTCAATTTAAATTTTGCGATTTTCAATTTGTCCATTGTCGATTTTTAGAATTTTCGGTTTTTCAGTTTTTCTATTCTCAACTGTTAGACTTCAAATTTGTTACTTTCCGATTTTCTACTTTTCGATTTTTTTATTTTTTTTTCGATCGTCGTTTTTTCGATTTTCGTTTTCCCGATTTTTTGATTTTTCAATTTTTAGGCCTTGCAATTTTTTTACTTTTCGTTTTTTCGAGTATTTGTTTCATCGAAATTTCGATTTTTCGATTTTCGATTTTTCGGTTTTTCCATTTTCCGATTTTCGATTTTTCGATTTTCCATTTTTAGATATTTTTCGATTTTTTTTTATTTTTCGATTTTTCTGTTCGTCAGTTTTGAGACTTTGCAATTTTTACTTTTCCACTTTTCTATTATTTTAGTTTCGGATTATTCGATTTTTGAATTTTCGTTTTTTTTTCATTTTTCGATTTCCGATTTTTTAATTTTTCGTTTTTCGGTTTTTTAATTTGTCGATTCTCGATATTCCGATTTTCGATTTTTCGATTTTCCAATCTTCGATTTTTCAATTTCCAGTTTTCGATTTTCCACTTTTTGATTTTACGATTTTTCAATTTTTCTGTTCGTCAGTTTTTAGGCTTTGCAATTTGTTTACTTTTCGATTTTCGATTATTTTACTTTCCAATGTTTTGATTTTTGAATTGTCGACTTTTAGAGTTTTCAATATTATGAATTTTTGAATTTTCGGTTTTCCTATTTTTCGATTTTTGATTTTTCCATTTTTCGGTTTTTTGATTTTTCAATTCTCGGTTTTTCAATTTTGCAAATTTTCGATTTTTCAAATTTGTGAATTTCCAGTTTTTCGATCGACTTACGTATTAGATTCATTGAATTTTCGATTTTCGGTTTTTCCATTTTTAAATTTTTGATTTTCCAGTTTTGTATTTTCAGATTTTCTGTTTTTCGCATATCTGATTTATCAAATTTTCGATTTTTCGGCTTTTCGATTTTTCGATATTTGATTTTCGAATTTTCGATTGTTCAGTTTTCCATTTTTCAGCTTTTAGACTTCAATTTTTTTACTTTTCGATTTTTAGATTTTTGATTTTTCGATTTTCTTTTTAAATCTATGAATTTTTCGGTTTTGATTTTTCGAATTTTTGATTTTTAATTTTTCCATTCTTCGGTTTTTAGACTTCAATTTTCTTTCTTTTAAATTTTTCGATATTCTATTTTCCGCTTTTCAGAATTTTCGATTTTCAGTTTTCAGACTTTCGATCATTAGAATTTTGGATTTTTCAGTTTTATGATTTTTCGATTTTTCAATTCATCGATTTTTCTATGTTCAATTGTTCAATTAAAATTTTCCGATTTTCAATTTGTCCATTGTCGATTTTTAGAATTTTCGGTTTTTCAATTTTTCCATTCTCAACTGTTAGACTTCAATTTTGTTACTTCCCGATTTTTTGGTTTTCGATTTTCCAATTTTCAGAATTTCCGAGTTTCTTTATTCAGATTTTCGATTTTCCACTTTTTCGATTCTAGATTTTTCGAATTTTTGTTTTTCCACTTTTTTGCTTTTTAGATTTTCTGTTCGCTTCAGTTTTTAGGCTTTGCAATTTTTTTAATTTTCAATACTACAAATTTTTGACTTTTCGATTTTTTGGTTTTCCCGTTTTTCAATTTTCGATTTTTCGATTTTTGAGGTTTGTGAATTTCCACTTTTCGATCGACCTAGGTATTTGATTCATTGAATTTTCGATTTTTTGATTAGCCATTTTTAGATTTTCGATTTTTACGATTTGTATTTTTCGATTTTCTGTTTTTTGCATTAGTGAATTTCAGTTTTTCCGATTTTTGATTTTGCGCATATTTGATTAATCAAAAAAGTTACCATGCTTACAAAAACTTCAAAACATCTACAATATTTCAAAGTATTCAGTTTTGCTATTCTTGATTTCTTCAATAAAATAAATTGACTCAGTCATTAACTTTTTTGAGATACCCTGTATAATCAAATCTAAAAAATATTAATGCAGTGATAAATCACAAGTATAAAAACTCATCATATTTTATACATTTAAGATAGGATTTATTCTGCAAAATTTTGAGGTGACGTCATAAATTTTTTAGAGGGGATAAGCAAATATATTTTAATTAAATCATGTTTATCATGACTTTAAAACATCTGCAAGATTTCAAATTATTCGATTATTCATTATTTTATGGGAACAACTACCTGCTAAATCTTCTCCGACAAATTCGAGAGAACTGGTGTGAGCCATAAATATTTCTCACCAAATGTAAATTTCGTTGTAGTTTGAGCCTACCTACAAATTCTGCCCTTGAAGGATTTGGACCACCTTCTTCGGTGAGGGCAGGCAAAAACGATCCGCCCATAGGCTCAAAACATTTGCGTGCGATTGTACGCGTCTAAACTTATTTTAAACCCGGATTTTACATGTGTAGGGAATCGGTAGTCTATTCAGCGCCCTGAAAGTCGTGCGCCTGCTCCGCTTGGGCCGCGTCGTCCGCAAGCTCGACAGGTACTTGGAGTACGGGGCGGCCATGCTGATCCTGCTCCTGTGCTTCTACATGCTCGTCGCCCATTGGCTGGCGTGCATTTGGTACTCCATCGGGCGTTCCGACGCCGATAACGGCGTCCAATACAGCTGGCTCTGGAAGCTCGCCAATATCACCCAAAGCCCGTACTCGTACGTCTGGCCAAATGACACCAACACGCCAGAACTGATAAACGGCCCTTCACGCAAAACCATGTACGTAACGGCTTTGTACTTTACCATGACCTGCATGACGTCGGTGGGATTTGGAAATGTGGCCGCCGAAACTGACAACGAACGAATTTTCACGATTTGCATGATGATCATCGCTGGTAAGGAGCGTTCACGCGGTGTGCGCAATGGCCATTTCCTACGGTTGCGAAGGAAACCGTGCGGAATGGCCGCGTTTCTTAACCGTGGCGGTGAAAATGCGCTTTTCGATTTTTTCATTACGGAACTAGGAGTGCTCGTGGTTGTATTGATCTTGAAGGTGTGAATAAAGTGTGATAAATGGTCGCCGCCCGACCTTCGTGCCGTCTACAAGTGCTAAAAATATTGGAATCGAGTCCATTAGACAACTGGCTACTTTTATATTTTCTCGACGTTTCCTGACCACTAGAGTAGGAAAAATGGATTCCCGTTTCCATCTGTCTGTCTGTCGTCTGCCCGAATTTTTATTAGAAACTACTGGACAGATTCTTGTCTAATTATACATCCAGATTTTTGAAAAAAAAAGATCAAAATTTTATAACATTTTGCAATTTAACTTTGAAAGTACAAAACCGAATACTCTGAAAACTTGCAAACTTTTTAAGGTTGTCGTAATCATGGTAAATCGTTAAACTAAGTCATCTCAAAATTTTGCAATTTTTGGATTTCTCAGTTATCCGATTTCGCAATTTCTTAAATTTTCGATATTTTGATTTTATAGTACTTTAAGAAGTTTCTCAATTTTGCCTCTTTCAATTTTTCAGTTTTTGTTTCTTCAATTTTTCAACTTTTTGATTTCCAATTCTTAGATTTTTATAGTTTTCAGTTTATACTTTTTCGTTTTTTCATTTTTTGTTTCTTAGTCAATTTTGCAGTTTTTCAATTTTTTTTATTCGAACAGTTGAAAAATCCAAAAATTGAAAACCGAAAAAATGCCAATCGAAAAATTGAAAAATCTCAGTGAAAAAAGGGAAAACTCAAAAATCAGAACATTGAACAACCGAAAAATTGAAACAATAAAGAAAATAAAAACCTAAACCAAAAACTGAAAATCGAAAAACTGAAGAAATGAAAAATTGAAAAATCTAAAAATTGAAGCATCCAAAAGTTGAAAAATCGATAAATGGTAAAAATAAAGAAAATAAAACACTGAAACGAAAAATTGAAGAAATGAAAAAGTGAAAAATAAAAAATTGAAAACTTTAAATCGAAAAACGAGCAAATTTAAAAATTGAATAAAGGGAAAAAAAGAAAAATTTTAAATTCTCAATTGTCGAAAATTGAAGAAACGAAAAACTGAAAAATCGAGGAAGTGAAAAACCTAAAATTGAAAAAACCAAAAATTAAACAGTAAAAAATTGAGAACTGTAAATTTGAAAAACTCAAAAATTGAAAAATTATAAATTCCAAACATTGGAAAACCGAAAAATTGAAGACACGAAAAATTGAAAAATCAAAAAATTGTAAAATTTTAAATTAAAGAAACGAAAAAAAAAGAAAAATTTAAAAACCTCAAAAAAAACGAGAAATTGAGAACCGAAAATTGAAAATCCCAAAAATTGAAAATTTTCTCACTGAAAAAAGCGAAAAATTATAAAATCAAAATATTGGAAAAGCAAAAGTTGTAAAATCGAAAAATTCAACACTGGAAAATCGATAAATGCTAAAAATAAAGAAAATAAAAAACCGAAACGAAAAACGTAAGAAATGAAAAATTGAAAAATAAAAACTCAAGAAATTTTAAATCGAAAAATTGCTAAATTTAAAAATAAAGAAACGAAAAAACAAAAAATTTTAAAATCGCAAATCGAAAATTGAAGGAACGAAAAATTAAGAATTTCGCATTGAGAAAAAACGAAAATTTATAAAATCAAAATATGCAAAAATTAAAAATTCAGAAAATTGAAAGTTTAAAAATTGAAAACTCGTGAAACTGCTAATCAAAAAATTGCAAAATCTTAAAATTGTAGAACCAAAAAGAAATGAAAAATTTAAAAATCTCAAATCGAAAAATTGAAAAATCGAGAAAGTAGAAAAGTTAAAATTGAAAAAACAAAAAATTAAAAATCGAAAAATTTCACATTGAAAAAACGAAAAATTATAAAATCAAAACATTGCAAAGCCGAAAAATTGAAAAAATAAAGAAAAGAAAAAATCTAAAATAAAAATTAAATAATCGGGAAAGTGATAAATCGAAATTTGAAAAACCAAAAAATTAAAACGTCCAAAAATTTTGAACGAAAAAACTGAAAATTTCAAAATGTGGAAAATCTCACATAAAAAAAAACAAAAAATTATAAACTCAAAACTTTAGAAAACCGAAACCGAAAAATTGAAAAACTAAAGAAAATAAAAAACCGAAACGAAAATTGAAAACTCATGAAACTGCTAATCAAAAAATTGCAAAAATTTTAGAATTGAAGAAACGAAAAACTGAAAAGTCGAAAAATTAAGAATCGAAAAATTGAAAATCCCTAAAATTGAAAAATTTCACATTGAAAAACGAAAGTTTATAAAATCAAAACATTGGAAAACCGAAAAACTGACAAAATAAAAAAATGAAAAGCCGAAACTAAAAATTGCAAATCGAAAAATATGAAAAATTCAAATAATTGAAATTTTAAAAATTGAGAACTTGTGAAACTGTTAATCAAAAAAATTGCAAAATTGAAAAATTAAAAAGCCGAAAAATTGAAAACCGAAAAATTTCACATTGAAAAAACGAAAAATTATAAAATCAAAACACTGCAAAGCCGAAAAATTGAAAAAATAAAGAAAAGAAAAACTCGAAACGAAAAATTGAAAAATCAAAAAATTGAAAAATTAAAAATTTAAATCTCGTGAAATTGCTAATACAAAAATGCAAAATCTTAAAATTGAAGAAACGAAAAACTAAATAATCTGGAGAGTGAAAAATCGAAAGTTGAAAAAACAAAAATTAGAAAGTTCACAAATTTTGAACTAAACAACTGAAAATTTCAGAAAAATTGGCAATCAAAATAAAAACCGAAACGAAATATAGCAAATTGAAAAATCGAAAATATGAAAAATTGAAAAATCAAAAAGTTGCCAAATAAAAAATTGAAAACTCGTGAAACTACTAATCAAAAAATTGAAAATCTTAAAATTGAAGAACCAAAAAAAATGAAAAAATTTTAAAATCTCAAATCGAAAATTGAAGAAATGAAAAATTTTAAATCGAGAAAGTGAAAAATCTAAAATTGAAAAAACGAAAAATTAACAACCAAATGAAAATCCCAAAAATTGAAAAAATTCATAACGAAAAAACGAAAAATTATAAACTCAAACATTTGAAAACCGAAAAATTGAAAATTTTCACATAAGAAAACAAATAATTATAAAATCAAAGCATTAGAAAACCGAAAAATTGAAAAACTAAAGAAAATAAAAAACCGAAACGAAAAATTGCAAATCGAAAATTGAAAAATCAAAAAATTCCAAAATCTTAAAATTAAAAAATCCAGAAGTTGTAAAATCGAAATATTGAACCCTGGAAAATCGATAAATGGTAAAAGTAAAGAAAAAAAAACCGAAACGAAAAATTTAAGAAATGAAAAATTGAAATCTAAAAAACTCAAGAAATTTTAAATCGAAAAATTGCAAAATTTAAAAATTAAAGAAACGAAAAAACAAAAAATTTTAAAATCTCAAATCGAAAATTGAAGGAACGAAAAATTAATAATTGAGAATGTAAAAAACTAAAATTGAAAATACGAAAAATTTAAAAGTCGAAAAATTGAAAATCTCTAAAATTGAGAAAATTCTCATTGAGAAAACAGAAAATTATACAATCAAAACATTGAAAACTCGAAAGATTGACAAAATAAAAAAATAAAAAGTCGAAACTAAAAATTGCAAATCGAAAATTATGAAAAATTCAAAAAATTGAAAGTTTAAAAATTGAGAACTCGTGAAACTGCTAATTAAAAAATTGCAAAATCTTAAAATTGAAGAAACAAAAAAATGAAAAATTTAAAAATCTCAAACCGAAATCTAAAATGAAAAAACGAAAAGTTAAAGCCTCGAAAAATTAAAAACCGAAAAATTTTACATTGAAAAAGGAAAAATTATAAAATCAAAACACTACAAAGCCGAAAAATTGAAATCTCGTGGAATTGCTAATCAAACAATTGCAAAATCTTAAAATTGACGAAACGAAAAACTAAATAATCGGGAAAGTGAAAAATCGAAAGTTGAAAAAGTCGAAAAATTGAAAACCAAAAAATTGAAAATTTCAAAAATTGAAAAATTTCATATTGAAGAAACGAAAAATTATAAAATAAAAACATTGGAAAACGGAAAAATTGACAAAATTGAAAAAATAAAAAAACCAAAACGAAAAATTGCAAATTGAACATACAAAATATTGAGAAATCAAAAAATTTAAAAACTAAAAATTGAAAACTCGTGAAAACTGGTAATCAAAAAAACTGCAAAATCTTAAAATTGAAAAAACAAAGGAAAATGGAAAATTTAAAAATGTCAAATCGAAAATTGAACAAACGTAAAATTAAAAATCGAGAAGGTGAAAAATCTTAAATTGAAAAACCAAAAATTCAAATCGAACAATTGACAACCGAAAAATTGAAAAAAACTTCAATTAAACAAGAAAATAAAAAACTGAAAAATTGCGAATCGAAAAATTGCAGAAACGACAAACTGAAAAAAATTAAATTGAAAAAACAAAAATAAAGAAAATAAAAAACCGGAACCAAAAATTGAAAAATTCATAGATTGTAAAATCGAAATACTGAACATTGAAAAATCGATAAATGGAAAAGTGAAGAGAATAAAAACTGAAAAAAAATTTAAGAAATGAAAAATTGAAAAATAAATAATCGATAACTTCAGAAATTTTAAATTTAAAAAATTGAAAAGTTATAAAATCAGAACAGTGAAAAACTGAAACGAAAAATTGAAAAATTAAAAATTGAAAACTCGTGAAACTGCTAATCAAAAAATTGCAAAACCGTAAAACTGAAGAATCAAAGAAAAATTAAAAATTTAAAAATCTCAAATCGGAAATTGATGCAACGAAAAATTAAAAATCGAGAAAGTAATAAATCTAAAATTGAAAATTCTAAATATTAAAAAGGTGAAAAATTGTAAACCGAAACAGTGAAAATCCCAGAAATTCAAAAATAGCTACTAAGAAATCAAAAATTACAAAATCTTAAAATTGAAGAAATAAAAAAAAATGAAAAATTTAATGCTAAAGTCGAAAAATTGAAAATCCTAAAAATTGAAAAATTGAAGAAATGAAAATTGCAAAATCTGAAATTTGGAGAATTAAAAAACTGAAAAATTTAAGCTTAAAGACTGGAAAAATTACAAACCGAAAAACTGAGTTAACAAAGTAAATTAAAAATTGAAGACCTGAAAAATCCAACTCAAAAAAATTGCGGGAATCACTAAAAATGTATAACTTTTCAAAGAACCGGGATTTGTTGGGATGCACTTCAGCGCCGAGCTAAATCCTGCCAAAACAACCCCCTACCAATTTTTCTCTCTTTGCAGCTCTTTTGTATGCGACGATCTTCGGCCACGTAACGACAATAATCCAGCAAATGACTTCGGCCACCGCCAAATACCACGACATGCTGAACAACGTAAGAGAGTTCATGAAACTTCACGAAGTCCCCAAAGCCCTGTCTGAACGTGTAATGGATTACGTGGTGTCGACCTGGGCCATGACCAAGGGACTAGACCAAGACAAGGTATTTTCCCGGAACACAACGACCAATCTTTCCGTTATTTTCCTGTTTTCGAGTCTTGTTTGTCACCATTCAAACAAGACAAATATTTTCATCGAAGCGAATTGCTTTCAGACGCAGATGTCGCACCCACACTAAAAGCCCTTGTTTTAGGTTCTGAATTTTTGTCCGAAAGACATGAAGGCTGATATTTGCGTCCATTTAAATCGAAAAGTGTTCAATGAGCATCCCGCTTTCCGGCTGGCTTCCGACGGCTGCTTGAGAGCTCTGGCGATGCACTTTACCATGTCCCATTCGGCTCCGGGAGACCTCCTCTACCACACCGGCGAATCCATCGACTCGCTGTGCTTCATCGTCACGGGGTCTCTGGAGGTGATCCAGGACGACGAGGTGGTGGCAATCCTGGGTGAGTGTTAAATAAAACAAACAAAAATATGTATGTAGTGGGTGACAGTTTGTCAAGCTTATTTTCGGGGTTAATTGCGTTATTTTTGGACAAACTGAATTGTTTTTAATAACTTTAATTTTGACATGTTAATACATATTTAAACTGGATATATGCTCCACGTTGGCCACCAACTAGCGAATTTCGTGAATTTTGTGCAACTTTGGTATAATATTTGAATTCTTTGACCTCGATTGTTGATGTTCAGCAAGAACCACGGGAAGGTCTGGAGCAAGTCTTGCCAGGACAGGAGAGGGCTAGGAATTGTTAATTAGGGAGGAAATGTTATACAGTACAGTACAATTTAATACAATAGAAATACAACCTACAATCTAGATCGATACAGCTACATTACAGGATACAGATACAGATACAGATACAATACAGGATACAGATACAGTTGCATAGTTAGTACCCAAGCACCCAAGTTAGAAGCAAGCACACCGATGGAACTCGGACGAAATCTATAGGTCGCAGTGCTCCTTCGCCCAAGGCAGGAACGGAAGCCGCATAAATCCAAGGCCGTCTGACCTCATCCTTAAAGAATGATGCGACCCAGCGTCTAAGGGCCAACAGAACCCCCCCAGACCAAGAGCTTCTGACGACATGGAGAATTCAGACCGGAACCAAAAGATGCACTGTTGCAAATAGAATACCCAAGCAAGCACACCGATGGAACTCGGGACGAAATCTATTGGTCACAGCGCTCACACGCCCAAAGGAGAATGCGGCCGCATAGATACAGGGCCGACTGACCTCATCCCTTTGGGATGATGAACCTCATCCTTTTAGGATGATGACCCATCGTCTAAGGGCCAACATAACCCCCTCAGGTCAGAGCGTCTGACGACATGGAGAATTCAGTCTCGGAACCAAAGAATGCACTGTTGCAAAATTAATAAGTTAATACCCAAGCAAGTGCACCATGAAAACCCACAAAGCATTTGCACTGTTGCGAAGTTAAGTTAGTAACTATACTATATACTACAATTTGGTTGAATTACAAAAGTTACAATATACACAATACTCCACGTTTGCCACCAAAGAGCGATGACTGTGCTCGCTCGTTGTTGTTGCCCGGCGAGAACCAAACAATACGAGGAGGTCTGGAGTTTGTCTCGCCATGAGAAGAACAATAAATTGGAAATTCGCGAACACGGGCTACTTTTAAGCCAAAACGGAGCTCCGAAAGCTACGATGTTGCTGCCACCATACCGAAATCAAAACTAACCGAAAACCGCAATATTTGTTCAGGTGGCTCTCCTGACAGTGATGTCATCGAACATCATGATGAGATTGCAAACATTATTTTTCATATTTTGATCGGAAAATTGCACGTTGTTAATATGTTTATGTTTGTAGGAAAACGGTTTTAATTATATTAATTAATACTTAAAATTAAAACTCCAACCGTATTTACTCCGTTTTCGGGCATTTCTGGAAAAATGCACACTTTGTTCTGCGTTCACAGCGCTAATGCAGAATATTGCCAATAATATTTATTCTTTTCTTTATTTCTCCGAATGCTCCGACGTCGCTGCCACCAGACCGAAATCAAAACTAAACACAAAGGATCGAAGCTGGTCACGTGACAGTGACGTCATGGTGCGTCAGCATGAGATTGCTAAAATTATTTTTCATACTTTGATCGGAAAATTACACTTTCGGGGCTAATTCAACAATGTTTAAACAAATTGAATTGTTTTTAATAATTTCGTGTTTGAGGGAAAACGATTTTCAGTTGAATTGTTTAAATATCATTTAATTATGTCGTGATAGTTTGTTAGCAGCGTTTGCACGAGTTGATTTCATTAATAATTGCAAATCTCTCATATGTCGCCATTTGTTATTATACACAACGACAAATTTTAAAAATAAATAAATAAATTCGCCACTTAGTTGCGAAATTGTTTCCTTACTCTCCTTATTGCGAATAGACGTTTTCACACGCTGAACGTTCGACTCAAACTGCCCAACAGTGGCCGCTGACCTGTATATATACCGGTTGGATGACGTAGCAAGACGTTCGCGAATGTTCGAGAAGCTATTCCTTTGTTTGAATAGGTCGTGACGTCCGATTCGCGACGTCACGACATGAATCTTTAATTTATCAACGCATTATTAGCAACTAAAATGTTTATAAAAATCTTTTTAGACATTGTTTGTTTATATTTGTTAATTTACAATGTACAGGCTTAAAAATCGGTTAAATACCGGTTGGCTGACGTCACAAGACGTTCGCGAATGTTCGAGACGCTATTCCTTTGGTTGAATACGTCGTGACGTCACGATTCGCGACGTCACAATGTAAATCTTTAATTTACCAACGCATTATTAGCAACTAAAATGTTTATATAGATCTTTATAGACATTATTTGTTTATATTTGTTAATTTACAATGTACAGGCTAAAAAATGAGTTAAATACCGGTTGGCTGACGTCACAAGACGTTCGCGAATGTTCGAGAAGCTATTCCTTTGTTTGAATACGTCGTGACGTCACGATTTGCGACGTCACAATATGAATCTTTAATTTATCAACGTATTATTAGCAACTAAAATGTTTATATAAATCTTTTTAGACATTGTTTGTTTATATTTGTTAATTTACAATGTACAGGCTAAAAAATCGGTTAATTACCGGTTGGCTGACGTCACAAGACGTTCGCGAATGTTCGAGAAGCTATTCCTTTGTTTGAATACGTCGTGACGTCACGATTCGCGACGTCACAATGTGAATATTTAATTTATCAACGCATTATTATCAACTCAAATGTTTATATAGATCTTTTTAGACATTGTTTGTTTATATTTGTTAATTTACAATGTACAGGCTTAAAAATTAGTTAAATACCGGTTGGCTGACGTCACAAGACGTTCGCGAATGTTCGAGAAGCTATTCCTTTGTTTGAATACGTCGTGACGTCACGATTCGCGACGTCACAATGTGAATCTTTACTTTATCCATGCATTATTAGCAACTAAAATGTTTATATAGATCTTTTTAGACATTGTTTGTTTATATTTGTTAATTTACAATGTACAGGCTAAAAAATCGGTTAAATACCGGTTGGCTGACGTCACAAGACGTTCGCGAATGTTCGAGAAGCCATTCCTTTCTTTGAATACGTCGTGACGTCACGATTCGCGACGTCACAATGTGAATCTTCAATTTATCAACGCATTATTAGCAAATAAAATTTTTATATAAATCTTTTTAGACATTGTTTGTTTATATTTGTTAACATCTCAAAATTTTGTCGAATAAATCATCTCTAAAATATGCAAAATATTATAACTTTATAAATGTACACTCTTAGATTTTAGAATTATTTATACAGGGTGATTTTACCGATTAAAATAAAAAACGACTCAATATTTGGTATCGCAACGTTTCGTTTTTCCTTCTTCGATTTTACAATTTCTCGTCTTCCAAACTTTTCAAATTTTCGTTTTTTCAATTTGTCGATTTACAATTTTTCAATGTTACAGTCTTTTATTTTTAGATGTTTCAGTTTCTCAGTTTTTAATTTTTCGATTCTTCAATTTTTTGGTTATTTAATTTTTGAAATTTTTCATTTTTGTTTTTCTGTTCACTGTTTTTCTAGTTGTAAGTTTTCAATTTAGCAATTTTTGGATTTCTGAGTTATCCGATTTCTTCAATTTTTCAAGTTTTTGATTTCCAATTTTTAGATTATTCATGGTTTTCAGTTTATACTTTTTCGTTTTTTCATTTTTTATTTTTCAGTTAATTTTGCAATTTTTCCATTTTGTTTTTATTCGAAAGCTTAGTTGAAAAATCGAAAATTGGAAGAATTTTACAATAAAAACAGGGAAAATTATAAAATCAGAACAGTGAAAAACCAATAAGTTGAAAAAATAAAGAAAACGAAAAACTGCAACTCAAAAATTTGAAAAATCTAAATATGGAACCATCCAAAAGTTGGAAAATCGAAAAATTGCAAAATCTTAAAATTGAAAATCCCAAAGGTTTTAAAATCGAAAAACTAAACACTGAAAAATCGATAAATGGTAAAAATAAAGAAAATAAAGAACCGAAACGAAAAATTTAAGAAATGAAAAATTGAAAAATAAAAAATTGAAAACTCCAGAAATTTTAGGTCGAAAAACGGGAAAACTTAAAAATTGAAGAAAGGAAAAAAACGAAAAATTTGAAACTCACAATTTGAAAATTGAAGAAATGAAAATCTGAAAAATCAAAAATTGAGAACCGTAAATTTGAAAAACTCGAAAACTGAAAAATTCTACATTGGAAAACCAAAACATTGACAAAACAGAGAAAGTAAAAAACCCCAAAGGAAAAATTGCAAATCGAGAAACTGAAGACATGAAAAATTGAAAAATCAAAAAATTGAAAAAATAAAAATTGACAACTAGTGCAGACTGTTAATCAAAAATTGTAAAATCTCAAAATTAAAAAAAAAATGAAAAACTTAAAAATCTCAAAACGAAAATTTAAGAAACGAAAAATTGAGAACCGAAAAATTGAAAATCCCAAAAATTTTAAAATGTCACATTGAGAAAACGAAAAATTATTATTGTATCAAAACAGTGGAAAACCGAAAAATTTAATAAATAAAAAAATAAAATACCGAAACGCAAAATTGAAGAGATGGAAAACGGAAAAAACAAAAAATTGGAAATTCGTGAATCGGCTAATTAAAAATTGCAAAATCTTAAAATTAAAAAAACAGAAAGTTGTAAAATCGAAATACTGAACACTACAAAATCGATAAGATAGTGGTAAAAATAAAGAAAATAAAAAATGAAAAATTGATTGCAAAATTTAAAAATTGAAACACACTGAAAAAACAAAAAATTATAAAATCGAAACATTGGAGGACCGAAAATTTGAAAATTTTGAAAATGTAAGGAAAATAATAAATTGAAACGAAAAATTGAGAACCGAAAAGTTGAAAATTCCAAAAATTGAAAAATGTC